TCTTCGACAAGTGAGAGTCGATCAATACTGTTGCCGAGGGGTCGTTGGCCCGCTGAGCTGGGGCAGGTGACTTCCCCACAACCACTTCAGTAGGAGGTTGGTCCGAATTCGATGGTGCAGAAAAGTCCGGAGCCGACTCAACGGACTCCGACCCGTCATTGTCAGACCAATAAGCAAACTCGCCGTTGACTGGTTTATTGGTGGGGCTAATTAACGATGGACCCGTGGTGTTCATCATCATCGCATCATCCTTATCGGGGGCAACAGAGTCGCGAACTGGCTTTGGGGTAGCCTCCAGAAAGAACCCTCGCACAGGAGAGCGAGGGTCAATGGGAGCGGATTTCCTTTCAGTTGATGGATCCAGATCGCGCTCGCGTTTTCGGCCCTTGGCTGCTGAGCGACGCTCAGCCAATTCTGTTACAACCGTTGTCGTTTCAGGGTCGGTCCACGGGTGCCCTAGGAGTTCAACCGAAATGGCCCATACTTTGGCCAGAGGGCGTAGGTCCAATAGTATACGGGGCTCAACCTCCGAAGTAAAATCCCAATACCGATTAAAAAACGTAGTGTCCTCCAAAGGCTCGTCCAAAGGAAAAATCACCAAAGGGTCCTGGACCGCCAGACCAAGAGATAGTCCTCGGACATATACGACTAGCTCCCGATCGTTTCCAATAAATTCGTCCTTGATGTCTCGGTCGAGAGCCGCTCGAATGCGTTGCTAGACCAAGTTCCAATCCCCATCACAAATCTGTAGCAGTTTTTTGGCAGCCGCCTTCCAGGATTCAGTCACCGGAGGATCTACGAAATTTTCAGAATACCCTTCGCACCAAGGCCAGTGGAAATCAGGCTCATTCTCCCATGCCGAGAACAGCTCGTTTCCAAAGACCACTTCTTTTTTATTGTTGCATTGACCACAAGCACGGTGGATTGTGCATAGATAGGCAAGGGTTTGCAGGTTCCACTGAGACGAATAGATATTATGGACAATGCGGTCGTACTTCAGTGGATTCTCGACCTCCTCCATCTCGGTGTTGCTGTTGTTGTTGACAATTGGAGGGTCCAAATCGTCGGATTCCTTTTTTGATCGAATTTCGGCGGTTTCCACTCGGCTTTTTTGCAAAAAACTGATGCGACCCTGGGTAAGAGCAGTAGAATTAACAGGTTTAGCAGCGATTGCCACTTTCTTGTTGTTCTTCGACTTTCCCACTGTCAGTTTTGATGCAAAAAGGAGGAGCGAGTTTCGTTTTGCTACAGAAAAATCGTGTAGGCGAAGTACCAAAAGTGATGTTTGTAGGACCCGGATATGTGTGTTGCTTTTGTATTTTTGTTTTTTGGAATATGAATACTGTCCAACTGACAATATGATTGCGGATTTTATGACTAAGCCATTGCAAGGTGAGAAGTTTCGCAAGTTCAGGGATCTGATTCTTGGTCCACAGGACTAGGTCAGACAAGTATGTATATGTTCAAAAGAAAATACAAAAAAAATAAACAGTGAATGAGAGCATGTCCCATTGCTGCCAATGGTGATTGTCACAATGGCAGGAGTGTGTTGGGATATAACAAAATATGAGTTTTTACGTTCCAAAAGAAACTATTCAAGTACAAAGTTTTGACACGTACAATCGGACTTTGATCGTGATGTCGGGATTCGACGCAAGTCTGCCGGACGCAAGTCTGTCGGACAATCTGTATCCACACAAAAAGGGAAAGACCCTATACAAGTGGAATATCAATGCTGTGTACAATGCAGTAGGGAATAATACAAGATGTCCCAAGGTATTGTATTCAACACAGAATTGTCGTAGAAGTCGAATCGAGTTCTGTAAACAAGGGATTTTCCAAGGGAAAATCGTTGAACCCACTTTTGTGATTGAATCATCAATTCAAGCCAAACATTAATCAAATAGGAACAATTTCACTCAAAGTTCTTTACCTAACACAGGAGAACTATTGTCGTGAAAGTGTTGTACAGTCCATTACAAATTTAGATTGCAGAGAGTTTGTTCTGAGCGCTAAAGGCACTCACGATAGAGCACATTTTGCTTTATTCTAACAAGGATCGTCCAATCCTCACTGCATGCTTTTTACTTTAATTGATATAGATCAACTTGTAGAAACTAGTCAACTATAGGCTTATTGTCTATTTTCATTTACTTCTGTCAACTGAAGCAGATCAAGGTATGCAGTTTATTCAAAGCCGCAGAATCGAAAGAGATCTGTTTGGTTTGCTCAATCAAGTCATCATGGACAGTGGTTGCACAAACACCACCATTTGTAATGGTGAACTCATGCATGGACTACGTCAAGCTGAGAAAGAGCTCGATATGCACACTAACATGGGCAGCAAAGTTCTCAATGAAGAAGGGTTTCTAGGAAGATTTCCGCCTCCAGTCTATTATGATGAAGACGGAATTGCCAATGTACTTGCTATGCGCGAGATGATTGCTGCGGGATACCGCATTGCCATGGATACTGATGTTGACAATGGCTTTGTTGTGCATCTTGATGGAGACAGACAGGAGCAACTTGTAGCGAATGTCGAACCAGGTGCCAAAGAGACAAGTGCAATGTATTGTCGCCAGTTAAGCCACATAAATAAACAACCCCATTTTGAACTTTCTTCAAACAAACAGAATGGATATGCTGGACTCAGTATGACCTCGAAGGTGGCAATTGTTTGAAAGAACAAGGAAGGATTCACTCCAAGACAAGTCAAGGCTGCGATGGAAGCGAGAAGTGCGATGCACATACTCAATGCTCCAAGCACCAAAAGTCTGAAGTATGCGATCCGATCTGGTCTCATCAAGAACTGTCCTATCACTGAAGAAGCGATCAATCATGCCAAAGCAATCTTTGGACCTGACGCCTCTACATTGAAAGGCAAGTCAACAAGACCAACTCCGAAGAAGACGTACGACAACTTCTTCAGTCCACCAGAGGAATTGTACGAACATAATTGATCTATTACCGTCTGCATTGATCACATGGAGATCGAAAATCCTAAGTTTCTCACCTGCATTGATACCACTGTGCGTTATTGCTCATGTATTCCCATGCCGAACCTGAAGACTGAACCTGTATTTGAAGCATTGGATAAGATATTCCGCCGCTACAATAAGGCAGGCTTTCATGTCAAGACGATCAAGTGTGATCGGGCATTCATTCCTCTCACGGATGATATGTTAGATGATATGGGTGTTACTATTGACCCGACTGCAGCTGGAGACCATGAGCCTACAGCTGAGCGAAACAATAGAACGCTGAAAGAAAGAGTTAGAGTAGCTCTTGCACGATTACCCTACAAAGTGGTCCCAAAGGTGATCACTGAATGTCTTGGACGTCGAGCCGCCGAGCTATTGAATGTCTTTCCCCAGAAAGACAGTATTTCCTCACATTTCAGTCCGCAGCAACTCATTGATAATGTCAATATCAACTACAAGAGTGACATGGTTGCTGAGCTTGGACAGTATGTTCATGCAATTGGGACGGATTCCAACAATTTGATGGAACCACAAAGTATTGAAGCGATCTACATTGAACCTATGAAGGGACAACGCACTGGGCACCGAGTGCTCAACCTCAATACTAAGAAAATTATTTCTCGACCCAAGGTCGTCGTACTGCCAGTTACTGACCAAGTAGTCCAGCGTGTTTAAAAGCTTGGGCTGCTGCCGAAGGTGTTACTTCCATGAAGTTCTTCGATAAGAAGAGAGATTTGGAGACATTTCAAGATGGCGATCAAATCGCAGGAGTGGATGGCACGGAACAAGGTTACTTAGAAGAAGCCTTTGATCAGGACTATGAACCTGAAGATGAAGATGAACGTGATTTTAACCTACATGGACAATTCGATGATATCGATGACTGCAAAAGAAATGAGCTCTTGACAATGATGTGCCAGAACTCACTGTCAGATTCCAAGGAGATGATGACTACAAATCAGATGACGACGATTTGGGTGATGAAGGCGGTGAAGAGGAAGAACCTATTGTGACCGATTTGGATCACCATCAAGAAAATTTTGATTGAGGAACCAATAATATTGGAAGCCTTGTTACTGATCTGGAGGATCTACAAGAACAGCTAGAAGAAGAGATTGTATTTGAGCCTGAAACGCTTCAAGTAGCAAAAGTCACTCAATCTGGGCAAACGTATGCGCAAGCTACAATGTCAGGGCTGAACCTTTCTCAAGTTCCAAAGAAACCAAGAGAATGGCCTTTGAGCAGGAGTGGCAGTTCTACCAATAAGAACAAGAATCAAGTTGCAACAAGATGCAAGCATTGAGAGAGGGAAATGAAACCGTTAAAGGACAAATTGAAGTCTGGTATTTGTACCAAAGAAGGAAGTCGCAGTACTAAAGACAGTAAAGCTATCCTTGAAGCACATAAAATTCAGTTTCAAAAATCAAAAAAACAAAAATCACGCATTTTGCAAAAACAAAAAGTCATCTTCTCTAGTACTTTATCTACGCAATGACCGTGTAGCGACACCGGTTTTGCTGTTAAAAGTGCTTGATTGAGGACTTCAACCATGG